CTTCTATTCTGTACCTGTACAACACAAGGTTTTTTTCCAAATGCCAAAGGAGCAAAACAAATACAAGCCAGCCATGCAGCCACTGAGGATTTTCTCCACAGGCTCTTTTCCTGCAAGAGTGGCAGAAGCAAAGCAATCCCACTGACTTGACTCCCAAGCAGACTGGAAATTAACAGCAGCTCCCAATCTTGGTAAAATACTGAACTATGAATATATGAAATGAAGGTGAAGCAGTGAAGCCTCAGAATATCCCTGAAGAGGTGACCCATTGTAAGGCACCGCCTTTACAGAGTTCGCCACCTTTGCCGTAACTTAGAATACTTGGTAACCCACATGACTCACAGCTGGCACAACCCCCAGCTTCCAGCATGCCCAGGTGTTTTGGCTTCCCTTCTCTGATACTGGTTTAATTCTTATTTTCTCAACATTCTTGCTGCTAAGGTCATTCAAGGGGATGCTTAAAGAAACCATTTCTTAAGTATTACAAATAAATTATAGCATCATAGAATGTTAATGGATTAGTATGGACCTTAAAGACCATCTAGTCTCAACCCTTTCTGCCATGGGCAGAGACACCAAACAAGGTTGCTCAAGGCCTTAATCAAGCCTGGCCTTGAACACTGCTGGAGTTGGGGCATTTACAAGTTCCCTGGGCAAACTGTTCCAATATAGCCCCACTCTCACAGTAAATAATTTCCTACATCAACATGGAAACATTTTTTTCTTGGCTTTATTTGGTACTGGACATGGAAAAAAAATTCAATTATAATATTTTCCACGAAGTAGCTTTTAATTTTTTTTCAATCTGAAAGGAACTGCTCCATTTAGTTCAGTCATTTAGTATTGACTACTCCAGCAACATGGAGCTGAACTGATTCAACACACCAGCAGCTGGGTCTCTCCTGGTGACTTTTTAAAATCCAATTTCATGGTAGTGTTCTGCCTGAAGCACTGCTGTGCAACTATTTCTTAGCTCTCATTGCCAGCCATCTAACTGCTACAGAGCCTCTCTCCCCAGGCTTCTTCAAAAATAGTGCTGAAAGTTCACATTTTCTTGTGCACCAGAAAAAAATACAACTTAGAATACTTGAAAATATTCACAATAAATATTCACAATAAATTATTTTTCTTGCTGGTCCCACCCAGGTCTGTGCAAGAGAGGCCTGTGCCATTACAGAACATAAAATTCCTCTCACTTCATTCTTATTCGAAGCCAGTCAATCTCCTAATGCTTTTGACACAAGTTTTAGTAGACTGCATGTCAAGTAAAGAGCATTATCCCAGTTGTACAGTGATTATTTAGACTGTAACCGTTATTTCTGAATGAAAGTACTGGTAAATTGCTAACTGTTTTCCTACAGATCTCCACTGTGGTTGCTAGATTACTGGGTTTACTCATGAGTCCTAGGGCTGCATACATACATTATCAAAACAAAACAACATTTAGTACAAATAAGTGATTCATAAGATCACACACCACTAAATCACACCTTGAAAAGCACAGAGAACCTATTCTTTAACAGCTCTTTCTTAACTGCGACTAATCTCTCAACATCTACTTTAATATGTTTCTTCATTTTTTCTCCTTGCTGATATTAAAAGCAGTGTAGAGCAGAGCTTTTTACTACCTGCCCTAAACTATTAATGATGGTGTAATATATGCTTTGTATTAACAGACCTAAACATCTACACTTCCTGTGTTATGAACATTTGGAAGTACTAATATACTTTAAATTCCCTACAAAATTGTTGCAAGGATTTTGAATAAGAATGAACTTCTGATAAAAATTTAAAGTATTTACTTTTTAAATGTCAGTCACCATATCTGACCTACATGATATTGGTTCACTTCTAAAACTCACTAATATATTATTTGTCTCATTTTTTTTAATGATCCTTATACAGTTAGGAACAAACCTGCTTCTCCTAATATGATATTTAGAGAAAAAAATATTTTCTTATAATTAATAAATACTCTGCTGTCTGTTAATTAAAATTTCATAAAAGTAAATTATTACAACAAGGGAAAATTCCTTTAAATTGGTGCTGTCTTTTTTTTATTAAATCTTACCTTCTCCATAATGAACAAACAGCTCTCATTAAATAATAGTTCATAAGAATAGTTATGATTTTATTTCAGTTATGTTTTATGAGCAAAGATATAATTTGGTTTACAAATTCTTTCAGAGGAATCAAGACTCTCCATGTAGGGAGGACCTAGTCTTACATTTTAACCGAACTTCTAAAAGATTGTTATAAAAAGTAGGCTTCTGCCATTAGGGTACTCTGAAAAACAATAGAAACACCATAAAAATCCCTAGTTTAAGCAATTCTTAAGCGATCACCCAAAACCAGACAGTTTCATGAAATTATAAATTTGTGTCCAAACACAAGCCAAATAATCCACTCCTCAGAAGCTGTAATTATTTTAATGAGAGATGGAGGAATTTCTTATTTTCACTTCTCTGATTCTACAAATCATAACTGTAATTCATTAATTCAGGGTCAGACAATGAGCCTTTGAGCAATTATTCACATGAGTGGTCTCACAGAATTCAATGTCTTCATTTAACATGCCATTAAAATGGTACATGGGTGCATTTAACTAAAGTAAACATTAGACCACTGCAACACACAACAGGTTGCACCATAACAAGTGGGAAGATTACTCAGCCATTGAGTAAGCCATTGAGAACACTGAGACAGGAAAATCGCATCATGAATTTATCTTTTCCAAGAAAAGATTTCACTGACAAAGCACCTAAGCCTTTTACCACATTCTGAAAACCAAGTCAGTCCATTTCAGAATTTCAGAGATTACTCTGCTCAGTTTGCAAAATCAAGACAATCCCAAGTAAGGAAAGTTTAAAAAGGAATTCTAGAAATACGTAGGAATTATGCTGGAGAATTTTAAAGAGAAAGCCAAAACCAGCCAGATACAGAGGCAACTCAGTCTCACATGCAATCTCACTTATTCCATGCTTATGTCAGCCACCACAGCAAGGCACCCTGTGCACATGTCGCAGCTACTATTGGACCTTACTGACATACAGCACAAACCCAGCATATCTCAGGGAAACTAAATATTCTCTCATTCTTTGTCATGCCTCCTAGTCCAATACTCTAGTAATACATACATGTTTGGCTCAGATAAAGAAATTTCATTATGTTTAATGTGATAATGAAAAACTGGATATAAAAAAATATTTTCTCCCTGCGTCTCTATCTTTCTCTATTGCACAGCTTGTGACCAAAATTTTGCTGGCAGATTTGGGATGTTGCCTGAAAGATGGCATAAAACCAAGTGGCATGAGCTAAATGCCTGAGATCTCTCAGTGTGCCTAATCCATTTGTATATTTTTAAAGTGCACAGTGCTAAAAGAGAAGACAGCAGAAGCAGAGACACTGCTCAATTTCCTCACTCCGATGCAGTTTGCCTGCCTTGTTGAAGATAGGCTTTATTTTGCCACAGTATTGAAAAGAGCTATTTGGAAATGTGTGCTACTCCCTGGCTTACCTACCAGCCTGCTGATTTCCTCAGCACAAATGAAAATCCAAATACGATTACCTGTCCCAGTGGCACCTCAAGAGTCCCAAATCTTTGCAAGTACAATACTATCAAGGTCTAAAAGATATTGCATATTTCCTTCCTCATTGAGACTAGGATATTTAATAAATTTTAGAGACAAATGTCCTTCAAGGCTGAAGATAAAGGGTAATGAACCTGGAATTAGGACAGATTAATATCATCCAATTTGAAAAGGTTTAGAGGGAGTATGACTTCAACTCAAAACTCAGAATTCATGCCTCTCATCACCATCCCATGCTATCATACCTGAAATTATCCTCCCCTACCTCACATTAATTTGAGCCAAAATATTAATTCACTCCTCAGGGACCATTTCTTTGCTATGTTCTGTACAGAGATATGTGTGAATCAGTCCAGTTGCATTAGTTCTGTAGTTGGCATGCAAATATCAGGTGTTCACGGAAATGTAAATTGGCATTAATGCTGAACTGTATAGTGGACAATATAGAATAGTAGAGATCTTGTCTCCTAAGGTATTTTTGGAGCCAGTGAAGTTCTGTAAGTCAGAAAAATATATTTCTCCAGAGGGTGATAAAAAGCAAGCACCTGACTGTATTTTGTTGTGAACTTGGTGGATTGTCAAAGCCTTTGAAAATGCTCCTGCCTTCATCAGGGCAAAGTTTCCCTTTATGGGTATACAGTTTAAAGCCCTGAGGACAAACAGTTCTGGACATCAGCTAAGGTAGAGAGGGCAATATATATCCTTCTGTAAAGTGAATTAAAAGTATTGATATGTATTACTTTCATAAATAATAACACTCTATGTGGTTTTGTGTCCAGAAAAGCTCCATCCTTCCTCTTCAAATATGTAAGATATATGGAAAAATAACTAGCCTTTGTTAGTCCTTTCACATTTATTCACAAAGAGACATCATAAAATTGAAGTTTGTTACATTAATTCTTGTGAAGAAGTAACAGTCCTCTTATTTGTCCTTGAAATTATTCAATTAAATGCAATTTGTCTGTATGAAAATCCAGAACTAGAGCCTTGCTTTAGGATAAGACACTGGAGAAACCACTGTACCATAGAAACTATTACCGGGGGATGTTTTGACTTTTTTTAGTTGAGGTAGAAGGATCTTTAAGCAAGGCTTTAAAAGGCCTTCTAGGGTCCAGAGACTCTTTATCCTTATTATTTTTAGCACTGCACAGACATCAGTAACTCCAACGGGTTATGCAACAAGCATTTTGCTGGGCTAGAACCCCACGTGCTATTCAGACCATTTAAAACAACTATGTCTCACCACACTGGTGCCCTTTTCTTTAATAATTATTGACAAAAAGGCAATCACCTGAAGAGAAAGAACAGTCCACTGATACTATTCCTTAGCTTCTGAACTGTGATGTGCTTGAACCACTCAAAGAAGCTTTCTAGTATAAAAAGCAAGATGAAATTCAACAAAATACTTACAGTTCTTTGCATTAGTAAAGGAGTTTCAGAACAACCTATCCCTTCATCATTAAAATTTGATTCCATATTGATTATGTCTTCAATAACTTCTTCCATCTGATAAAATAATATTTAAAGAGAAATCACTACAAATAATAATGGGGAAAAGTTTTTTAAAAATACAGAGGAATTAATCTTGAATATATCAGCAATGAAACTGAATTTCAGAACTTTATATCTTACAATTCAAACACTTCTATACAATATTCACATTTTTTACTTCTTGTGAAAACTGTTGTGGTTTAGGAAGATACAATTTTCTCTTAAACATCAGCCCACACCCCTATTTTAACCCCTTATTGCAGCACCATAATCAAATGACAGGAGTGCATTGTTAAGCTGTAACTGTGAACTTGATCAAATGTATCATATCCACAGTGCCTTGCTGCATTGGTGCAGGGAGACTGAAAGGAAAATGTGGTTCTGCAATGGTAGGAGTCACTCAAGGTTTGGTGTTACATGCTGCCCTCTTCGGCAGGTAGAGGTTTCTTTGTTTAGCAGAACAGTGGGTACTTTTCCAGACAGCCTTCTGGTCTCACTTTTGACCTAATCTGAGCCAAAAACTACCGAGGCAGATGGAAGAGCTCAATATTTGTTTGCTATGAAACAATGAGTACTTTGAAGGCCTATAGATATATATAGATTTGGACAAAGTACAGCATGAGTTTTCAATAATTATGGTCTGGTTCCACTCACAGTATAATTCTGGGAGAGATCTCATGATGAGATCTCTCACTTTTAAGAGCTATCTGTAGCTCTTGGGAGCTGAAGGAATTTAAGATGGTCATGTGCAACAAAAGTATCCCACAGATATGGGACCTTCAACACAGACTTTTTAGCCACATGGCCCAGCACAGCTCATGCATTCATTCCTCTCCCACTCTAAAACCAGAGAATACAGAACTAGTGTGCCAGTAGCTGTTCCCAGACTTATCTAGGAAAGCACCATCAGGGCCCAAAATTATACTAATAAATGCTAGCAATTAAAAAATATGAAGGAGTGCAGTTTACTGCACCAACCGGCTCTATATTATTTACTAATATATCTACGGCCTACTCTCAACCACAGGGCACACCCACATTAAGAAATTACATGGTGACAGTCATCCTCCTGAGTCTGAGATGAGATTATCCAAATCATTGCAAAGCTGCCAGGATCTTGCCAGTGCCAGGTATCACCCTCCCAGTCCTCACCAGGCTCTCTCTTGGTCACCAGGACAGAAAGTGGTACAGGGCAGGCTCCTGATCAGACCCAAAAGGCCTGAGAACAGTTTCAGCACCCTACACTTTGCCAGCATGGAGGTGGTCAAATAGGTGTCCACAATGGCCATTTAAAATAGCATTTTAAAGTAGCTCAAGTAATCCATAAACCTGACTTTAAATGTCAGTTGTCAATGCAGAAGGAATGGAGAGGCCCCAGATGAATTCTCCAGGAACCTTTATGGGCTCCCACATGCTTAGCTACATCAGCCAAATGCTCGAATGAGTCATGGTGTATTTGTAAGATTCTTTTTTTCTATTAAAGTTCAAGACATGCTACACCGTCTTCATTTCTCATTTCTGTAGGAATTCCCCTTTTACCTAATAAACAGTCTCTTTTGAAATCTATTGAAGTATTAAAAGCCATAATGGCCTACATCTTACACTGGCTAAGAATCTGATATTGTATTATAGCTGAACCTCTATTAAAATCAATGGTGGCACTAAAGTTAGCATATCTTTGCCAATTTATTCAAGATAACCCACATAAAAATATAGCAGCTAACTGAAAAATGATTGAGCGATTTTTTTTTCAGATACATATTGAAGGTAATCCATATTTAACATTTTTTATGCAGCTAGGTTAATACCTTTAGACAAAAAAATCCCATCTGAAAAAAGGATGTTTTTCTTTGCAAAGTGCATATTCAGAAAATGTACAGCAACATATGATGCCTATGTAAAAAGATGCAACAGTATATTTTATCTGACAGCAGTCTAAAAGCTTGATCCTGCAGTAAGCTATTCACAGGCACACAAGGGAACAACCAACATAATTCAAAAGGATACAGAAAGCAAGTGCCATAACCCCTCAAAAGCTAAGAAAGTCATGTCTTGCCCACTTCGAGTGCAAGGTGGGTGATGTAACATTTTTGTAGAAGCAGACAGAGCCCAGTTCCCCTTTCTTTACCCAGCTCTGCCCTACCGCATTTTCGTGTTCGCCCCCGAGGGCCAGCAGCTTGGTGACAGGGCTTTCTGCAGTGCCAGCACTGCTCACTGGAGGCATGGGTCCGCTCCGGAGAATGGAGCTCACTCCCACTGGCTGGATTGTGTGAGAGTGGGACAGGGACAGGGTCTGGCTGGACAGCTTGGTATCGAGGGTCAGGTACTGCTTCACCTGGTGCCTCTGGCTCTGCTGTATGTGGTATCTAGACTGATTTTCCAAGTGTGTTTGTACCTGGGAAGGAATAGAAATAATTGCTGAAGTTTCAAGTTGCTAGTATCAGTATTTATACATATGCTCACTCGAAAATATTTCAAAAACAGAATTAGAAAACATAACCATGTTCCTGAGAAAAGACCAGAAATATGCTACACATTTTTCTCAATTAAAAGTGATCTCTCTTGAGATCACTGCAATCAAATCCACATGCATATATGAACTCTAAAATTAATATTGACTCTTTTGTACATGAAAGAGTAAATAAATGCACAGAGAAATATCATCCAACCAATTTTAGATAATAACAGCAGTAGACATTCATTCACACCCTCCACAATCATCTCACCTTGTAATAAGTACAGTCACTAAAATGAGGCACTGCTGTACTTTGGCAATAGATTCCAAGCTGTAGTTCTGAATGACTGCTCACTATACACAAGCAATGTGGACTTTGTGAAGTGCCTATTGAGGACAGATAACTTTTTTAGTGGATTTGGCTTCATAAACTGAGTGGTCATGCCAAAATGTCTGATTGAGTAAAACTTTGGGCCATCCTTTGATTATAGAGGTTGACAGTTGCTATTTCAAACAGCTCCCATTTCAGATCAATGTCACATTCCTGCAATTTAATTACCAGAGGAGCACAGCATACACAAACCCTACTGTCATTTCAGCCCTGTTGCTCTCTTTTCTTCCTATGGCATGACTGGTAACAAATGTCTTGTAATAATTTTTTTTCGAGTGGCCCCTGTAAGAATGATTATTATTTGTTAAATAATAACAAGAGTTCCTTTGAAAACTTTGAAGAGTTTTTTCTGAAAAATATTTAGTCATTTAAGCAAACTTCTTTTTGATTCTCCTAAAATACATAAGCAAAGATAGCCATAAACACAATTTTCCTTTGAAGAAGTCATATTTTCATATATATTGCAGTACCTACTTTATTTTTAATCATTATAGTATAATTTTAATTATGCTTCTTTAAACTAATTTTCCATTCATATAAAAAAGACTAAGCCATGCAGTAATGAATATGAGATTAATTATTTTGATGTAAACCCTAAAGTTATTAAATAATATTCCATTAAAATGTTGGTATAAAATCTTAAATACACTGTTTGGATTTTCCCCTGATTTATGTTAGGAAGGTATGCATAGTATATAAGGTTGCAAAAATGTTATTTATATTTGGGATTTACTTACATCATTATTTGTTTTACCTTAGATTTTTGTAATAGTTTAAACAGTGTATAATGCACTGTTTAAGCTCTGACTTATTATGTGTAAGGATACATGTAAAATCATAAATAATTCAGATATTTATGCATCTTTTTAGTCCTTCATACTTAAGCTCATATTGAAAATAAGATACTCAAGCATTTTTTTAAATGATAATCCAACTGAATTTATCGCATGCCAGTTTAACCATAATATTATTTTTGGGCAAAGTCAAATGTATTAAGGGAAAACAAATATATCCCACTGGATGTCTGGAGCAAGGATTCTCTGTGTATCTTCACTGTCTGCTGCTCTTTCAGAAGCATGGAAAATTCATGATTGTGCTGGAATCTACGCTCACAGACTGAATCCACACAGAGTGACACTACCCAGGGCCTTGCAGTACCTAAACTGATGAAGATCTCTTTCCAGCAGTGCAGAACTCTGCAATCAACAGCTTTGAAAACACAGATTCTTTATGTGGCATAAATGGGAGTTGGATCAACACACAGGCGACAATTGCATTTACTGCATTTTGCCCCTACTAATTTTTTATCTTAATGAAGATGATGAATCCTTTGTAACGAGCAATTAATTTCTGCCTTAGAATTTTTACAGGCCTACATGAAGCATAAAACCAAGAATATCATATACTTTCAAATTAAATGGGAAACATAAGAAAATTGCAGCATCCAAGATCTATACTACCTTGTTTTAAATGCGTTTTTAATAAGTAATTTTTATAGATCTGCTACAATAAAACTACTGAAAAGTCAATGGCTTGCTTTTTTTTTTTTTTCCTCTGGGCCCCAAATTGCTTGTGGCAGACCAAAATCTCTGTGCATCCTGTTTTCTTAGTGAACCACCACAGGGCCATCCCACTAGGCAACGGGAAGATCTGTGTAAGACATTCAGCTAACTGCAGATTAGGTAAAAAACAGTTTACCAGAAGTGCTTATTTAGTATGATAATCTTTCAGTGATTATATCCTGTCCTGAATTTACACAGGCAGAAAAAGAATTAAAGCTTTGCTGACAGGATCTATGTTGCTGTGGTTTTGCAAACCTCTCCATCCCTTTACTGTGCCAGTTACAGTCATTACAAAGCAGAATCTTTGAGGTTAAAAATAGATCTATGCTCTGATTTTCATCTTAATATATTCTAAATAAGTGTACTGCTAAAGTAAAGCAATTTTTAATATCAAACCACAATGTAAAGACAAAGCAGTATAGGAAACCTATTTTTATAATAATTTTGTTAATGTACAATAAAAGTGGAGTGGGGGGAGGGGAAATTCATACTATGAGAAAGGTATATTGAGATTGCAAGTCAAGATCTCTAAACGTAGAACTTATTTTTAAAACTGTGCATGTGATATGTGCGAACTAGGAGTAAAAATTCAAATCCTCATAATTTTATAAAACCAGATAGTCCAGTGTCTCATTCCAAGCATGACTGATTTATTCTCCATTGGGATGTTGCATGACTTCTGTTATCTTTTATCTTTTATCTTTGATTTATTCTCCATTGGGATGTTGCATGACTTCTGTTATCTTTTATCAGTGGTATGAAGGTAAGTTTCAACTTAGATTTTCTGAATTTTGCAGATGCTTTTAACTCTTTTAAGTATTGCAAAAATTGCAAATGTTAAACTTTGACTTGATTTTGAGTTTCATTTCAATGATGCACAAGGAGCAGTTAAGCACCAGCACAGGTTGCCCCAAGAGGTTGCGGAGTCTCCATCCATTGAGATTTTCAACACTTTTCTGGACAAGGCCCTGAGAACCTGAAGAAGCATAAGAAATCTAAAAACAGACAGAGAAATTTAAATTGATAGTCTACATACAGAAACTCTGACTAACCATTATCAAGTCTGGTGAAAAAAGAATGGTATCAGGTTAGAAGTTCAGTGAAATAAATGCAATAAAGCAAAAGACTGAAAGATCAGTTCTACATAAAGTAATCTCACGAGTAAAATAACCAAGACCAGCATGGACTTAGCTGCTTAAAGACCTTAATCATGGGCATGTTTTAGATCCACAAAATACAGTCTTTCTCAGGAAAAAAAATTTAAAAAAAAAAAAAAAAAAAGGGAAAAAATATCTTCCAGAATAGAAGAATTTTTATTTTTATCCCAATAATCCTAATATGGTAACCTCCAGCAGTGCCAGGAGACCAAACTTTCAATTCAGAATCTTTTGAGGAATTTCCATAATCTGTGACAATATTTTACCAGAGCCTATGTGGAATTATAAGATCCAGATGTTGATGCTGATGCACCTTTTACTGCCGTAACAGTCTGAATAGAGGGTTACATTCTTTTTTTGTCTCTGTGGGTCAATGAATATTTAATTCTTTGTTTAAAGCAGAAAAGTATGAAGGAAGACCCTGAAATGGCATTCAGGATAGAGTATCCAATAATCTGGCACATCTGTGGAACCTGGATTCACATCTCTGACAAAAATTAAGCAGTGTGATTTGATAAAGCACATCTTCTAGCTCTCAGCAGACCATTTTCTATTAAATGCCTTTCTGCCACCCTGTTGTTTTGTGAGATGGATTGCTTGTTGGTAAACCTGATTTCTATTAATATCTAGCAAAAAGTAGGCACTCAGTGACCACCTAATGATCCAGACCCTGACTCAGACAAACCTGACACAGCCCAGGATTTATTGTTGTTCTATTGGTACAGCTGCTCTAGCCCATAGTATAGTCACTTACCTAGCCCTTCCTGCCAAGTGCTCCTGATATCACATCTGCAAAGTGTAACAAGGTGATGAATTTGTGCAGATAAGGTGCTGGTTCTCCTCCCAGACATTGTCTTGCAGCAGCTGCAGCCATGTATCTTAAATGCTAATTATCCCAGAATATTTGAGGAATGAATGACAGCATAAAAACTAAAAGTTAATAGATTATGCACTCCCTTCTAGGCACTGCTTTTGTTTTGTATCTGGCTTTCCTAAACACAGTAAATTTAAAGTCTACTCAGAACCAGAAACTTCAAGCATGAAGGGAATAAAAGCATCCAAGACAAATGCAGATATCATGACTCCACCAGTTCCACAAAGCCAAAACAGAAATGAAAACTTTGAGACAGATTTTGTAATCTGGAAAAAGATCCCAATGCATGGGAAATTGACTGTACCTGTTTCTATTTTATATCTCACTGACAAGCCAGTTCTGGGAACAAGAACATAACAGCCTTTCAGAATTACAGATGCATATTCAGACTTCTTCAATTGCTCTTCCTAATTTGAGCACACACCATCATGTTGTAACACTGCAGTACAGTTGTGCAACATCTTTTCCCATATTCACACTAAGTTTGCTTTCATTTCTAATATATTGCACAGCAGTGGCATACCTAGACTTTCAGTAGTTTATTTACATAAACTGTTTTACTTCACAATTTGCTGATGGAATTTTTCTTCTGCTAGTACAAGAAAATATAGCATGTCAAAATTAAGAAAAAATACCTATTTAGGTGATCTAAAGAAGGAATGAACAATGCCACTGATATTCCATTAAGCAGCAGCGCTACATCTTTCTTAGTGTTCCACTAAGAGCAAGCAGGTGACATCTGTATTCCCAGGCTGCTTAGCCCAGCATCATTCCCGAGAGAAATAATAGGAAAACTGAGAAGAGATTCAATTAATAAATTATTAAAATATAGGAATATAATTAATACTAGTCAACATAGTTCTGTGCAAAATAAGCCTTGTCAAACAAATCTACTTCTGCTCTTTGATGAGATTTTAAGTTAGGTTGCCAAAGATAACGATGTAGGTATAATACAC